CTGAACTTTATATATACCATCGATGACGTCACTACTGTAAACAAACTTTCATATGACAAGATTATAGACAATCTTAATACACACGTCTGACAGCCTTAAGGAGTGTATTAATTTTGTTTCAATCATCTTCTTTACAACATTACTAGTAACAGTATGATGTATTTGTACTTAATATAGATCTATAGGGATTGAGTTATATTGAGATATATACAATGAACAACAAATTTACGTCCATTTAGAAGAGTTTAACTTGGATTTACCAACATTTACGAACTGAATTCCGGTGATGTTAACTCGCATCTGAATAACAATTTGCCTGTCATTACTATTGTTCAGTCACGGAAGTTGAGGTGACTTGAGTGAAAAGTACATCCCATGGAAATATTTTTCAGGCTTTTTAAATAAGTAGATACATGATTTTGAAAATACATAAAAATACTACATAATTTTACAGCTACGTGATACACAAGTGTTACAGGTGTATTGTACATTTCAATTTCAAAGATATGAAAAACTCAGATTTTGTCATTTGTAATGGTGACTTTCCTAGTTTTCTTTGAGATATGAAGACAATATATCCAGCTGTCACACCCGCCCACAACCACGTAGCCTGTGCGAGAAATTTAGCAACGTTGTCTCGAGCAATTTGACGTTGATTTGATTTTTTTTTTATCTGAAAGTTGTACCAGGAAATATAAATGAGGAACGTGGTGCTGTCTCTTAGTTGGCGACACTGTTGGTAACATTTTTAAAGAAATGGAGAGTTACTCACCCCACCAGGTTGAGTATGGAGAGTTACTCACCCCACCAGGTTGAGTATGGAGAGTTACTCACCCCACCAGGCTGAGTATGGAGAGTTACTCACCCCACCAGGTTGAGTATGGAGAGTTACTCACCCCACCAGGTTGAATATGGAGTGGTACTCACCCCACCAGGCTGAGTATGGAGAGTTACTCATCCCACCAGGTTGAGTATGGAGAGTTACCCCACAGTGAGTGACAGTGACTGGTAGCGAGTGGTAGTGAGTTACAGTAAGTGATGGTGGTGAGTGACAGTCAGTGGTGGTGACTAGTAGTGAGTAACAGTGACTGGTAGTGAGTGACAGTGACTGGTAGTGAGTAACAGTGACTGGTAGTGAGTGGTAGTGAGTGACAGAACTTCACAGTGTTCCCAGGAGAGTCGAGTCATCACACACTTTTACCATTGTATCATTAACCTTATATTGTCTCTCTCTCTCTCTCTCTCTCTCTCTCTCTCTTTCACTATCTCTTTCTGTCTCTTTTTCTCCGTATCGCAGAGGTAAAAAATTAGCCCACAATTTTTGACGTGCTGACTATAAAGTTTCTGTAAGGCTGTAAACATCGTCATAAGGTATATAATGTTATATATAAAAAAAAAAAAAGAGAATCGTAAGTCCTTCAGTTCGTTTGTTTATTGTGTGAGGTAGTGGAAGACTATAGACGAATAGGTAAGACAGGGTGGACCTATCAACAACAGGCGACATTGTTTAAGTTACTTATGTGTTACAGTGAACCCTCCATATAAGGGACTTTCTCTCTCTCTTTCTTTCCATATTATCCGTTAGATGGTGGGTTTCACATTTAAAGGACCTTCGATATAATGGACTTTCCTCTCCACATAGTTCGTTAGATGGAGGGGTTCACTACAGTTTGGGATAATTTATGATGAAAACATAAACTTGTCCAACATTTTGTGGTAATGAAGATAGAAAATGTTTGAGGAAGTGACAAAGAAGACCAACAGTTTCTTACACAACACTATCTTAAGTTACCATAATAATGAATTCGTCTTGTGGATCGTAATTATAAATAAATAAAAATAAATAATTGTGGCTGAAATTCCTCCGGGGAGAAGCTGATGTCTGTGTGGACGACTCCTCTCACAGGGACCCAACGCTGCTGGCTGTACTGTACGTGCAGTGTTAGTAAAGTACCACGAATAAGACTGCCAAGCCATGTTCTTATTTTTTATATTATTATTATTATTATTATTATTATTATTTTATGAAAGTAGACGACACCAGACCTATCGTTGGATTAGGTTAGATTAACTTAGGTTGGTTAGGTTAGGTTGCTTCATGTCCTCGTAAAAACAAAAGGGTCAGCGGTTTTGTCCGTGGCATTTTTCCAACACTCTACGACTTGCGATCCTCAGGCTTGTTGGGTTCATGGGAGGTAAGCCATGACGGCGCCCATGAGTTGGGCACCGGTAAGGGGACACTTGGGGAAGACCTTGTCACAGTCCCCGCCCGCCTCCCCAAGTCCCCGAGCCTCCTTGTACTCCTGAGATGCCCCTCGAGGCAGGACTCCCTCCCCGGGCTTCACCGACGACCTGTTGGGGACGAAATAATAGTCCAGTTAATATATACCATCAATGACGTCACCACTGTAAACAAACTTGTCTTCAGAGCCGTATGACGTCACCATCACGATAACAATTGGTCTCAAAAGACCCTTTTTGTGATGTAATTAACATAAACAAACTTCATGTTGCTCTTTGGATAGTATAATGTTTTTAATGAAGAAGTGAACGTAAACAGTGAACTGACATCTCGTAACACGGTTCGTGGTGGTAAAAATCACCTCAGTGGAAACTGATTCCAGAGAGATTACTGAAGCAATAACAAACGTGGATACCTGCAGACCACGTGTATGTTTGTTAGCGTTAGGATGATTAGTCTTCAGGTGAAATATGCTGGCGTGTCTAATCTTGTGATGATTCGATTCTGTTTATTTCTCTAGTAAAAGATTAAGTTAAGTGACATGTACTGTATAGTTGTGTGTGTGTTGCGTGTGAATCACAGACGAAACTTAGAATCTCCAAGCCGGGGCTCGAACCTTGGACCAGCGGGATACCAGACCCGTTTATATCTACTCTGCCACCAGCTGTTACCTATGAAGTGTTACTCACCCCACCAGGTTGAGTATGGAGAGTTACTCACATAACCAGGTTGAGTATGGAGAGTTACTCACCCCACCAGGTTGAGTATGGAGAGTTACTCACCCCACCAGGTTGAGTATGGAGAGTTCCTCTACAGTAAGACTCTGCTGGTTGTTGGCCGCCAGCTCACACACTAGGCGTCTCCCACACCCGGACACGTCCTCCGCCCGGATCACCTCCATCAAGTTCTCCAGCGCCGCCGAGTCTTCCTCTGGCGAACGACGGCGCCTATGGTAGCCATAGCTGCCACCATGGTGTCCCCCGCCATACCCGCCATGGTGGCTGTAGCCGCCATAACCACGATTTCCGCCAGACCTGCCGCTGGCGCCGTAGAGGGCCAGACCAGCGAGACCGAGACCAACTGCCCCAGCGAGGGTGGCAGCCGCGAGACCAGCCCCGAGTGTTCCTATAGTTACTGTTGTTGCGGCCATGGTACTGTGCTGGTGATACTGGTAGTGGTGGTATCAGTAGTGGTGGTGGTGGTAGTGGTGGTACCAGTAGTGGTGGTACTGTGCTGGTGGTACTGGTAGTATAGTACTAGTGTGGTACTGTTGTTAAGGATAAGGCTGTCCTTGATGCTGTGGCTCTTACTGGTGCTATAGTGCTACTGCTGCTACTGCTGCTGCTGCTGTGATGCTGCTGTTACTGTAGAGAGGAATTAGTACCTGTAGATAATGATCCAGCTTAATCCTGTCATTTACTTCAGTCAGTCATCCATTAACCATTCAGTAAATCAGTCACTCACTCATCCATCTCAGTCAGTCAGTAAGTCTCTCGCTCAGAAAGTCAGTCGCACATTCAGTCATTTAGTTCCTTACCAGGTAAAGTCAGTCATCCATTTAGTACAGTTAGTCCAACTCTCACTTAGTCAGTCAATCAAGATTGGTATTCACTAACAGAAAAGTATGAAGATGGGGTCGCCAGCAGTTGTGTTGTGTCGTCAGCAGTTGTGTTGTGTCGTCAGCAGTTGTGTTGTGTCGTCAGCAGTTGTGTTGTGTCGTCAACAGTTGTGTTGTGTCGTCAGCAGTTGTGTTGTGTCGTCAGCAGTCCTTCTTCCCCCCGTAACACCTCCTCCCGTCCCCCCTTTCCCTTCCTAACTCTCCTGTAGCTAATGTGGTGTCTTGGTGACCTTGTAGGTGGTGACTCTTGGTGAATAACTACCTGAACACACTACCCCAACTACTACCCCAGTCACCACCTTCACTGTCCCAACCACCACCGCCACTACCCTAACTACCACCGTGCCACTACTCCCACTACCCGAATCACCACCGCCAGTTCACTAACCCCCACACCCTCCCCCCCCCCTTCCACTACCCCCTGGTAAGAAGTTTTCCTAAGTTATCAAAAATTATTGTTGAATTTGCTAATTTTGACCAGATACTTGAAGGCCCATCTTATAGTGCAGGTTACATCACGTCTAGTTATTATTATTATTATTATTATTATTATTATTATTATTATTATTATTATTATTATTATTATATTAGGAATTTTTGGGTTAAATACTAGTACACACACACACACTGTTATAATAACTAAAAATATTGCAGTAGGGCCATGCAGACGTACCTATGCCAGGATCGCCGCAGACCAACCCCAGGCGACCAAACAGTATGAGAGTCTGAATGTGAACTGGACTAATATACACCAGTGACGCTTTTTATATATCTGAAGTCACCCCCTCCCCTCAGACACCGCCCAGCCACCCCCTGACACACCCTAGCCGCCCCTGACACACCCTAGCCCCACACCCCAGCCACCACCCGACACACCTTTGCCCTGACTCACCACAACCACCCCCTGCCACCCCCTCCACTACCCAACCATACCACCACCATTACCATCACTACCATTACTACCACCAGTTACTTGACGTCATATTGTGGTAAATGTTGTAAAATACTTAATTTATTGCCTCTAACACTATCATTACCACGACTACAACTACCACTACCACCATCAGTACTACTACCATCAACCCTAACACAATTGATACCGCTATCACTACTACTACTATTACCACAACTATTATCAACATAACCACCACTAATATTACTACCACCACCACCACTATCTCTACTATCACCACCCCTACCACCCCGAATACCACCGTGACGACCACTATTCCTGCTACTACCCTTACTACCACCACCGCCACCCTTTTCACTATAAAGTGTACTGTACATCAGTGTCGTCTCAAGTTTTAATTTTTAGTTATCATAATTTGCTTCTTCCAGTAGTAGTAGTGGTAGTAGTAGTATTGGAAGTATTATTAGTAATAGTAGTAGTATCGTTTAAATACCCATACAGGTTGTAGCACAATTTCTTAACAAACTACTACATTTCAGACATTTCGAAACAAATTTACCTGAGAAACGATAAATTATTGGACGCAATAAACATTCCTCACTTTGGCAACTGTGTGTTAAGTGAGGCGCCTCGACGTGAAGGACGCTGGTAGTCTGTTTCCCAATACTGTACTGTTCTACTCAACAACCAATAACTTATACGCTGAGATTTTATGAGGAATATTTCGTATGTTGTGGTTGGTAGACTCGGTTCTGGGACGTGACGTGATTGGTTTCTTATTGGGGCTATGACACACTCTCTCTCTCTCTCTCTCTCTCTCTCTCTCTTTGGATGTTTCATTGTTAGGGAGGTGTGTGTGTGTGTGGGGGGGGGTTATTTTTAGTACTGTTACGCCGATTCGAAGCCTTGCCTAATGACGTCACCTGTTGCAGCAATGCAGAACACACTCCCATTGATTGATTGAAACAGTTTATTTTGCCAGAAAAACACAGATACAGAGTCGATAATAATAACAATATTAACATGGCTGAGCCAGTTGAGAAACTGAGCTCTCTTGTAGGCACCTGATATATACTATACATTTATCTCAAGGAAGTATTATGTAACATTTAGTATCATTTGGAATAGTACAATAGCATGGTGGTAATAAGAACATTTCATAATGTTACCACGGTTATCACTTCAATATATATTTTTTTTATTTATTTTTTTTTTTTTTATTATTACTTTTTTTTTACTTCTATATTACATGCATATACATAAGCTACAGTGGGATTGAAAAACATAAATATAATGGGGAGGCAGTACAACATGGGTTGTACAGTATTAAGGTTGAACAAAATGACAGAGCTGTCAGGATTGTCTAGTTGGCAAATATGCTTTTTGCAATGTTAATTTCTTATCTATCTACATGATAATTTCTGATAAAACGGTTTTGATGGTACAATAAAAGCAGGTATATAAAGTAGGTATTACAAAAAATATTAATACTTAGACAATAGATATTTTTTAAGAGAAGATTTAAAGTAAGGGAGCGTCGTCTTTGCTCGGATGGGTGGAGGCAAGTTGTTCCACACCTTCACACCATGATATTTTACTGAGGTCTGGGACTGAAAGGAGCTCATGGGGGGTGGTCTTAGTAGCTCTTGGTGCCTTAAGTTGTATCTCTGATTATTCCGGAACTGAAAACAATTGTTGTCAAGCAAGTGATTGACAGATTTGTAACCAATAGGGCACAGCAGTAGGTGTTAATATCCTCGAATTTTAACATTTTCAATTTAGCAAATTTTTCGTTTGTGATCCAGATCACTGATCTGTTTTGTTTTGTTTTCAAGTAGGTCATTGTCCGCACAACTCTCTTATGTGCAGTAACCAGGGATTGGGTTATTAAAGAGCCAGAAGCCCCCCATAGTGTGTGACAGTGTATCAGGTGTTGGTAAACGAGATCATAATAGATTTCCTTCTTTGCTGTGAGAGTGAGTGGCTGTCGAGTGTGATACATGATACCGCACTGTTTATTGACTTTACTGTGACTGGCTTGTATGTGGTTTATCCAGTTAAGTTTCTCATCAACAATAACTCCGAAGAATTTAGTATTTTGTTCGCGTTTGAGGACTGTATTACCAAGGTACAAGGGGTACAAGTTTATTCTTCGCCACACTAACATGCTGCTGCTATGCCACAGTGAAGCTCAAGAGGAAGTAGGTCTCAATATAATGACAGCTAAAAAGGCAATTAATTTATCTCAGACCAAAACGAGGAACCAATAACTCATAATGACCTGTTCTGTACGTTACCATGGCTGACCTTCCTTCCTTCCTTCCTTCCTTCCTCCATTCCTCCTCCACCAATCTCTCTCTCTCTCTCTCTCTCTCTCTCTCTCCCCTTCCCATAGCTTCTCTCCATCCCATTTTCACTAGTCACCCAACACCCCCTCCTCCTCCTCCACCTCTCCCTTCACCCAAAAATCACACCTTCTCACCCCTTACCTTACCATCTCATCTCTCACCCACAACTCCTTTCTCACCCCTTAACACCCCCCTTCTCACTCATCACCCCCCCTCCCCTCCGCCTCTGTGTCCGTAGATAATTGTCCGCGAAAGTGTGAAGATTTGCGACGTGAAAAAGACATTTTTGATCAAGACATTTCTCTCTCTTTCTCACACCAGTTCCTTCAGCCTCTCAGTCCTGCGGGTTAGTGGACAAACACACACACACACACACACACACACACACACACACACACATTAATGTATCAAAGATGAAATTGTTGTGTCATTTTACAGAAGACAGAATATTTTGCATCAACATTTATCATTTCTATTTGTCTAATGTAATGGGGGTATAAAGCACCTTTAAATGTGGTACAATGGTATTAGGGTTAATTATTATTGGGTGTGTGTGTGTGTGTGTGCATATATATGTGTGTATGTGTGTGTGTTTCAAAATATTACCCTAACAGGAGATGGCTGGTTCACATGGTTCTCAAAGATTCCTAAGTTGAGTTTCTCTCTTTAATGTTATATAAAAGTTCACTGTTTCACTTTCCAACACTAAGACGACGTGGTCACTACTCAGAGATTATCGTAACTAAACGTGTTCTCTCAACTCGTAACCAGAACATCGTGAACGTAGGAACAATTAGGAACTCTCTGCCTGGATTACAAACTTTCACCGTGTTTGATTTTGTCTCCTTAATAATGTTCAGTTGTATAGTATAGTATCTCGCTAAAGAAGAGTTTCTTTGTAAATGTCCATTTGACATACAATACAGTACAGTACAGTACAGTACAGTACAGTATCTCGTTAAGGTAAGAGTCTCAGTGTAATTCTTAGGTTAAGTTTGGTTAGGTTATCTTCAGTCACTTCATTACCATCAGTTACCTCGTTACTGGAGTGTTACCAAGCGTGACGTAGCATAACACAGCGTGATATTAGCGTCACACCTTAACAAAGTAGCATGACACCTGTAACACACATGACACTGGTGAAACAGCATGACACCTGTAACACACATGACACTGGTGACACAACATGGCACTGGTGAAACAGCATGACACTGGTGACACAACATGATACCACTGGACACCTAATGTTGGACGCTTATTGTTGGCAGGGCACCACAATCACAACCACCACACCACCACCACTACCATCACCACCACCATCACCACCATCACCAACACAATCACCAACCATTACCACCATCACTGTCATGTGTGTGTGTGTTTGTGACAATATCTCAAAGTTGTTTCAAAGTACAACACCACGAAAGAATATGTTAACAAAATACAGACAGACGTCCTTGTTATCCGTGGTCGGTTAAATTATTGTCAAAGTAAAGAAATATAAAATAACTTAACACATATATATATATATATATAAAGTAACATGTACATTGTGTCATAATTATAAAATACTGTATCTGTTTCTTAAGTACAATACAACTTACCTATATACTAAAAATTAACACATGCTTCCAAAATATAGTACAACTTGTGTATGTACCAATTATAACATATATTTATTTACAAGATATTTCCAATATCAACCTACATATGACACAGTATACCATATAGTACAGTCCTACAGTATACTTCAGTAGACCTCGCACCTGTGTACTATATGCATACCAGGTAGGTCACTCACGGTAACTCAAGTGTGTTTACAAGTCCCCACGTTACTGAGGCCAGCCACTCAGCGTGAAATTCGGGTGAGCTGTTTACGTGGTGGTTGTACTGTACAGCCTTACCATCACCAAAAACACTATTGCAAGAAGAGGCTTGATGCAACACTTACACTACCAGTACCACACCCCTGTCAGTTCTCATATAGCTGTGAAAATATACATCTACGTTCTCGCTAGGTGACGTATGTGTGTGTGTGTGTGTATACATGAGTGTGGGCTGACATACATGGGTGGGTTGACATACATGGGTGGTTGACGTACATGGGTGGGTTGACATACATGGGTGGTTGACGTACATGGTTGGGTTGACATACATGGGTGGTTGACGTACATGGTTGGGTTGACATACATGGGTGGTTGACGTACAAGGGATGACGTACAGTACACGGTTAGTGGTCGCCAGTATCAGGGATGAACCGCCTCATGTTAGCCAGCAAGTCACCGTGTGTCAGAGGACCTCCGTTGGCTGACTCCTCGTCGTTGGTGTGAGCCGTGTGGGTCAGCCTGGTGGGGGTGAACAGGCAGTCAGGCAGGGAAGTAATACATGTTGGTAGGTAAGTAGACAATCAGGAACGTAAGTAGAGAGATAGGTAAGTGGACAATCAGGCAGGTCAATAGACAGATAGGTAAGTAGACACTCAGGCAAGTAATTAGACAGGTAGATAAATAAATAATAAGGAAGGTAAGTAAATAATCACTGGAGTGAGGTTTACACACTGAGGTATGAGGGAAGGTGGTGAGGTAAACTACGTAGAAACAAAGAAGTAAAATGGATGGACATTATTATATGAGATCTAAAGGATGGTTAATGTTTCTTGTACTGTGTGTGTGTGTGTGTGTGTGTGTGTGTGTGTGTGTGTGTGAATTTCGTAAACCTCAAGTGTGATATATAGATATTTGCAACTAACATTTATCACACCTGAGCTTGGAAAAAAATACACCTTATAAGTGGGAGTGACTGAGGTAACACTAACTATTATGTAATGGGAGGGAGGGAGGGAGAGCAGACAACACCATCACACTACAGTACACTTAATACACCTACAGTATGTACACAGGCAAGGGAGTGTAGTACTGTTGAGGGCTACACACACAATTACTCCTGAAACAAATGCCTAAAATTATTCTATCTCAACATAACTTTCACAGATTGGTTGAGTCTTGTCATTACTCTCTGTCACAGTATTTCCCCAAACGTAAAATTATTGCCGACATGATAAGCCTGACAGTCAGTCTCTTGGTGGGACGCATGGGTGAACATGGTTCATGTAGACGTGAATGATGTCAAATATAATACCAGGCATTACTTTACATTATTATAAGTGTTGTAGTGTTGCTTAAGAGTTAAATATGACACTTACTGAAGAGTCTCTCTCTCTCTCTCTCTCTCTCTCTCTCTCTCTCTCTCTCTCTCATACTTACTGAGGCTTCCCAAGAGGCACCACCACTTTGGCAGACGACGCTGACGACGACCGTCCCTCGCTGACGTCATCGCGGGCGGCGGCGTCCTCCCCGAGCGCCGCGGCAGCCCCAGGTGAGAGGTCCTCCGTCAGCAGGAACTGACGTAGCTGCAATAGTTCATGGACACGCTGCTCCACTACTGACAGATAGACTGACACACTGGCGCTGGTGATCTCTCCCCCACCTGCACGAATATACAGGTAATAATAATAATAATAATAATAATACATGGGGATAATACCACTACCCACCTCACATCGCCACATCACCTATCCACGTCAAATACCCACATCATATACCCACATCATATACCTACCTCACATACTCACATCACATACCCACGCCACATACCCACATCACATACCCACATCACGTCACCTACCCACATCACATTACGTCGCCTATCCACATCACATACCTACGTCACATACCCACGTCACATGCACACATCACATTACGTCACCTATCCACATCACATTACGTCACATATCCACATTACATTACGTCACCTATCCACATCACTTTACGTCACATCCACATCACATATCCACGTCATCACATACGTCACATACCCACATCACATTACGTCACATCCACATCACATACCCACATCACATATCCACGTCATCACATACGTCACATACCCACATCACATTACGTCACCTATCCACATCATATTACGTCACATATCCACATCACATACCCACGATAGCTATTATGGGTTGAGCGTCACACTGCAGAAGGTCGAACAGTTCTTGGGTGGCCGTCTTCATCTCCGTCAGGGTGTCTTCTGCCCTCCTCAGGTCTCCTTCTAAAATCTCCAAGGCTTCCTCCGTCTCTCTCACCTCCGTCTGTGATGGAGACATGCGGAGGGTGAGAGAGAGAGATTTGCCTGTAGCTGAGAAACAATATGGTGTGAGAGACAGTAGAGAGAGAGAGAGAGACATACCTGTAGCTGAGAGACAGTAGAGAGACATACCTGTAGCTGAGAGACAGTACGTTGTGAGTTCCGTTCCTTATCGGCGCCTTTCCCTCGCGTCTCTTCAATCTGTTGACGGATACGACGAACCTCCGCCGTCAAGCTGGTGACCTACACACACACACACACACACACACAGAAAGAGTACTCTATAATACAGTATAGTACAGTGCACCATAATACAGTATAATTCAACCTAATACAATACAGTAGAATACAATTAATGATACAACAAAATAGAAGGGGACGACTTAGGTGATACAATATATGAGTTGTATCAAGGTAGTACGCGTGCGTGTGTGTGTGTGTGTGTATGTGTGTGTGTGTGTGTGTGTGTGTGTGTGTGTGTAATTACCTCATTGTTCAAGTCGGATATGTAGGTAAACAGAGTATAGTTGTCATTCTCGGCTTGCAGGTAATTACTGACCAAGGTGTCCACTGAGCCCTCACCACTCATCTCACTCAGGTGGGCCACGGAAGCTCTGTACGTGGCCAGTGTCTGTTCTGGTCCCCGTGGCTCACCCCCCTCACCTGTCACGTATAATACACACGTGAGGATATATTACAACACGTGCGGATATATTATAACTTACACGTGTGGATATGTTAAAAGTTACACGTGGATACAACACTACAACACACAGATCAGAATGTCACGGCAACACTCACCTTCAAGACGCTGGTGACTGGCATCTTCGTCCTCGCCGGCAGAGATGGTGGCGACGAAGGCCCTGAGGTGGTTCTGGTGGTCGAGGGCTCGCTGTAACTTCTTCAGCTCGTGCGTGTACTGCTGGGAATCCCTCTCAGCTCTCTCCTTCAGGGCACGCATCTTGGTCTGTGCCTCGTCCCTGTAGGCAGCCAAGGATCAGCGAGATGGTTAAGTTCAGCCTGGGGAAAACACCTTGACATCTTAAATCTGATATTCTTCAGGCCCCTAGACGGACCACCAGTGGGTCAGGGGTGATAACTCTTAGTGTTTGTTGGACAGATAGATCGATAGGTCTTACTAAATTTGTATTATACTTTGAGTCAGGTCTTACAGTGTTTGTCGCCCGATAGTTTTGTTTCTAAGGCCCATACCATAATACCAGCGCCAGCACGGGCAAACAGTGGCTCTTAGAAAGTTGACCTTTGACCTTCCTCTTTGAGTAAGCCTTGGTGACCTACCTCTTTGAGTAAGCCTTGGTTACCTGCCTCTCTGAATGAGCCATGGTGACCTACCTCTCTGAATAAGCCTTAGTGACCTGATCCATAATGTCGCTTTTCCTCTTGACCGTCGCCGCCAGTTGTTTCTCCAACCGCTGGGCCTGCAGGACAGGTCATGTTAGGTTAGGTCAGGTCAGGTCGATACTGTCTACAGACAAGACACTTCTGTTTATTATGAATAAATTCCACAGCTTCGTATGCCTTTAAGAATGAACTTTGGGATCGTCTACCTTAATCACGGTTCAGTGATTCAGGGAAGATTATCATAATAATTCTCGTCAACAATACCTCAGTGGTACTTAGCCTCCCTGAAAACCTGTACGTAAACTGGATATACGTTAAGCAGGTGTACGTTACGCAGGTGTACGTTACGCAGGTGTACGTTTAGTAGGTAAACGTTAAGCAGGTGTACGTTTAGCAGATGAACGTTAAGCAGATGAACATTAAACCGACACTGACTGAATGTTCTGAAGTTTCATGATCACCTCACTCTGGCCTCACCTGCAGCATAAACTTGTCTCGTTCCTTCAGTAGATTCTCCAAGGTGGACCTCAAGACGCGGTTGTCTGCCAACACCGCGTTCAGCCGCACCGTAGCCTGAAATAATAATAATAATAATAGTAATAATAATAATAATAATAATAATAATAATAATAATAATAATAATAATAATAATAATAATAATAATAATAATAATAATAATAATAATAAAAATAATAATATGTTCTGGACTCAGTTTGGTAGAATTCTATTACATTCAAGCGTGATGTCACCTCACGCTTAATGGTGCATTTTTGTCAGCTTAACTTTGACCTCTTCACCTAATAAGCATAGTGGGTACAGAAGTAGTTAAGGCTACCACACTCTTATCTATCGAGTTTTAATGTTGTCTATCTTCCCATTCTCGATTTGTGGTGCTGCCGTACTGACTGGTGGCACTGTTTACCCCACTCACCTGGCTGGTGTGGTGAAGTGATGATATTCCTTATTTATCCATCATCCATCATCCACCACTTAATAGCCATCACCCATCATCCATCGCCTGTTATCCATCACCCATCAACCATTGTCTAATATTCGGCATTCAGGGCGACCGTCACCTACCTGTTGGATGCGGTTCTGGAGAGCCTTGTTAGCGTTGATGGCAACCATCCTGCGTGACTCCAGCTGCCTGGCGGATGGTACTCGACGTCGACTCTCACGTAGGCGCTTCTCTGCCGCCGCGATGCTTGTGTCCAAATCTTTGATCTGTGGAGGGTGGCAGTGTTATACGAAGTCCTAGGTTGATACTAGCCTGACAGTTTTGCACGGGGTCTAAGACTGACAGTGTTATACTGTCAAGGGCTGACAATCTTATGGCATCCTGGACTGACAAAAACACTATTCCATGTTAGATAATGGCTGCACCTGTCCTCCGAACCTAAAAAGTCGAGGCCACCCACCTTGTCCTTTTCTTGGTCTATGAGCTCATTGTACTTGGCCTGGCGGTCTAGGGTGCTGGCCAAAGTGGTCACGGTTTTGTTGTCTCGCGTCTCGTTCTGGGAGGTGGCCATGGCGGACAAAAGTCCCTCCAGCTCCCCCTTTTCCTTCTGCAGATCACGTAGTATCTTCCTGGAGGAGGAAGGTGCGTTTCATGTTGTTCATATTAACCTTTAGGTTTGTTTTTGATGAAGGGATGTCACATACCTTGTGTGGGTCTGTTTGTTTATGTGCTAACCCGACACTTGTCAACACAACTCGTCTAACAACATTTGCTACATCTACTGGACACTTGGTATTCATTGGTGTTCATGCTATTTTTTAGATAATTTTTGAGGAAAAGGTAATTGGCTGATGTGTTTGGTGTGGAGAAATTTGTATCGCTCTTAACTTTCTTATGTAAGAAATATTTGGTCGACAGCTTTAACACTTATGTCCAATATTAAGACTTTTTATGAACAGATAGTGATTAATAATTGGATTGTGATGTTCACAAAGAAGTAATTCCAAATATTTAATAAAGTGCTGATATACTCTATGTCTCAACTAACTGTTTATGGTCATCATTTAACACTGGTTTGTGATAACAGCAACAGAAGGAACCCAGATGAAATTATCGTGCTCATTTTATGGTACGGAGGAACTCTGTAGCAGCAGGAGTAACTGAATGACAGTGAATGATGAGAGAGTCTGTGTTGCTTTTGACTTCACACCCACCCTAAGTCATGAAGGAAAGGCTGGCAAGAGTGAAACACAGAGTGAACAAGAATTAGTCATTGGCTGTATAATGTCACTCTTGAAAAAATAAATGTACAGGTCAGGGAAGCCAAGAGTGAGGCCTACTAAACTCACCCACACGATGATGACAGCTACAAAGTATACAAAGTATACAGTGAGGGATGTCTCACCTCTGTCGACCCAGGAGAACAGTGGCCTCGTCGTGATATTGTCGTCTGTTCCTCTCCATCATGCGATACTGACGACGTAGCCTCGCCAGGAGGGTCTCGGCACCCTCCAGCTCCACGTCCTCGCCCGCCTCCTTCTTGTCCTCGCGCTTCGACATGATCTTTCGCTGCTGTCCTCGTCGTTCCTCCAGATGGTCGTCCAGCTGTGAAATATCTGCTCAAAATTTCTCAGTAAATCACAACTCATATTGAATTTGAATCATGACATATGGTTACATCCAGTAAATTATGGTTTTAACTTCTAAAATTTAACCTCATTTTATTACGCAACACCTTCGTGGTGTAGAATAACTTAGGCTACTTACTTCTTTTCTCCTTTAATTTATTCATTCTTATTGACCCCCGCGGCCCCGTTGTGGGTCGATTACCTGTGCCCGGGCGGGATATTCCTTTAAAAAAATTATGAACGTCCCTATGCTGTTGTGTTTGTGGAATTGTATCTTTGTAATTATGTTTCAAAATACAGTATCTGAACCTGGTTACTGTAATAATAATTCATGTCAAGACAACCATTTTTATTAATTTGAACATAGTAGAAGACTCAGCGGTCAGGCACAATTCTAGGTGAGTCATAACCAATTTTAGTAAAGTAAAATTTACCATCACCAAATTGTGTGACGGCACCGAGCGTGAACTCATTCAGGTTCAGACTTGACTAACACTGACGCAGGTACAAATACATCATCATGGAGCCAGGACGTGCCCAGTACTTGCCAACAGTGTGTAACAGAGACGTGACCGACCGCCCAATTAAGTGGCTAACGAGCCGATCAGTGGCGAAGAGTTGAACTAAACCGAAGTAAAATAAAGTTATCAAGTATAAGCTGGTAGTAATATTATGGTTAGTGACTATCTCCCTACGGCAGGTGTCTGACAGTAGGACAACCAAGGTACTAGTGGTGTAGGGAGTTGACTGAGATCATTACACAGTTTACAGGGTGAGAAGTATGGGGAAATCTCCTCCCCAGAGACTTGCTGGGGAGGTCGGTATCTTAGCCTAGTGTGAGTTAAGACAGTTTTATGTCTGCGGATAGTGAGTCTACGTCGACGATACTTGTGTGGAAGAGGAAGTATCTGGGCGGTTATTCCATCATTATTTGTAAGGTTGTTAATGTTGCTTAACCTGCTGCCAACCAAGCATCCAACAGGAAATATTTTCATGCAAGTTTTAGAGATTCAAGGATTTATATGCATTTTCATAGAGAATATACAATTTAAAAAATCTATTTGAACCAGTTATATAGTATTGAATATTGGCTGTAAAATAAATTAATTAATGCGTTACTCTAACCTGGTGTGGAACAGTCAGGGGTTTGTTGTTGTCGCCCCGTTGCTAGGGACGCTCTCTCCTTAGTTACCAGCTGGTGAGCATCTGGCGTTGGAATAATATATAATAATACCATGTGACATTCTACAAGTGCTAATTTTTCATATGTTTATTTCAGTAAATATAGGACACTAGAGGTTACCATCATTATTAGGCAACTATCAAGATTATTATTATCATTATTATAAAATCTATCACTGGTGTTAGAAGTTCAAGCTATGATAATCTTCATGAAAGCAGAAAATAAGTTTCATTTGTTATCTTAATGGAAATAATATTAATTTTAGTTTTATTATATTGTAGCACACACACGAGCTTTCCGAGACGACCCTATGGAAGAGAATAATCTCGTGTTATCCCTTTAAGAGTGAAATATTTGTTTTTTTATTATGTACAACTGTATACGTTTTCTGTGACAGTGACTCAAAATTTAGTGGCTAACTCTACCAAATAGTGTATAATATTGAAACTACATTGCAAGGGACAGGATGACTAATGGGGATGGGGAGATGGCTGGGTGGGATTGGGAAGACAAACTAGTTAGGTAGGTAGGCTCTCTCTCTCTCTCTCTCTCTCTCTCTCTCTCTCTTTCTCTTTCTTTCTTTCTTTCTTTCTTGTCACGTTCGTTGTGGTGTCTTATCTTGGATGGCAGCAGCAGTTTGTACTGTAGTGGATTTCTCCCCTACAAACGTTGTTTGTCGCTGCGTAGCCGACCCCACGAATTCCCCAGTGTATGCCTCGTGGTCTGGGTCAACCAGTGCCGCCCACGGAGCGGAGGTCAAATACTAAGCCACGCCTACCTCCGCTATATAAGACCTGACCTCGTGGTGACCTACCTCTTTTCTACCTACACCAAACAGCCAGCAACACCTCCTCCGCCTGCCTGGCGGCCCTCGCTCCCGCCGGCGAGCATGGCGACCCACAAGCTGTCCTCCTCTGAGCACCCTCACCAACCAGCTCTCTCTACATCACGCTTGTAACCATGCTGCCTTCCCAGCACCAAGCTGCATTGTACAATGTACATCCAATACAACATGTATACAGAGAGCACATCGGGAGTTTCCTTTCTCCATCCCATCCTGAGTGAGAACCAAACCACCCATACCCCACAGTACAACATATTTCCAACTGAGATAATTATTATGTTTGATAATTTAGATCATACTCTCTAAGTGGATGCCACACTACCAGCTGATACAGCGAATCCCATACATTGTACAAAAAGTAATACAAATGTCAGCAGCTTGAAAGTCAGTCAGCTATAACAACTAAAACAGTTCAAGAAATTATCAGTGTTGCCCAGAATTTGATGTATGTTGTCTAAGGCAAGCAAATTGGTAAACATGAAGACCTAAACAAACTTGGGACAAACTTGTATGTAAGCGAGTAGAACATTTGGAGTCTACCACCCACTAAAGACACATTTGTCCTCCAGGTAAAGCGAGCTACACTATCTTACAATAATGTATTTGGGTCGAGACTGATCAACCACAACCTGTCTTTCCAGATCTATTCATGTTTGGTTAGGTCGCAAATGATAAAGTCAAAACCACTGTTGACCATAGTTTCACCAATACCAGAATTCCTTGCTGCATCCGTGTGCTGTAGTTGCCAGGGACGTTGTGGTTGTAAATGTCCGTACCGTCAACACGGGTCGTGTGAACTCATGTGTACAGACAAAAGTCGTGTAGTGAAATTTGGTGAAAACATATGCCGAAGGGCTAAACTTTTGGTGTGCTCTGCCTTGTGGTAGGAGGCTCTCATAATGTTTCACGAGTTGTATTTAATCTTCGGACAAAACCGGGACACGACTATTGTCTTTGATTGTACAGTCGGGGTCAAAAGACTTGAACACTTGACAGTATTTGGCAAGTAAGTACCCGAAGATCTTAGGTATTAAGGAGAGTTTTATCCCATTTTGTGGTTCAGGCATAATATGTGATGACAAGTAGTGTTATTAGTACATCCCAATCATATATGGCAAACCAGAGTCATGTTCAGGTATGTTAGTTTCATATATGGTCATGGAAAATATTTATTGATTTGTGAGCCATTAAGACAAAAAGAGTATTTCTTGTAAATTGTAGATTATAATGTATATCTGGCACCTGGCATATGTATAATATGTAGAACAGGTAATGCCATTCAATAAAAAAATAATACATTTCATATCAGTTAGATAATATTGAGTTATTAGACACTTGAAGTTATTTTTGGGAGAAGTGGGAGTTGTGCCCCCGTTACGTTTAATCACCCATTAAATACCATAATAAATATCAAGGTTTCCTCAGTCAAATTTTAGTACTGTACCCCCGCCTTAAATCGTCTCTAGCCAGCATAAACTATTTAAAAGAACCGTAAAACCTCCTGCAGCTCACCATGTTGGGTACCACTCAAAAAAATTAATTTGGGTCTCAGACTTAATATTTTACACACCATGCTGGTCAAGCTCCCCGGTCTGTAATTATTTGTGGAGTGCCGATTTCCTTGTTTGAATAGCAGCTGGTGTCACCAGGTCCTATGAAGAAGAACAGGAGGGGGAAAGAGGGCAACAGAGAGAATAAAATTGAAGAAGTTTCCACAACCAGTCTTAGAGATGCGAGGGAACACCTGGATGCCCTCCTGAATTTTACAGCCACCATATGATATCCTCCACTTCTTCCTTCGGGAGATGAGAGCAGTTGCTATTGATGAACTGCAGAAGAGGACCAAGATGAAACCACATAAGATTGGGGGACTACTTCCCCCAAGATCCCCTAGTGTTCTAGTGCTGTCTCCTATGGCAGTTTGTCTAGTGTCAGTGGTGATTGTTTCTGGCCTCAGCCCTCACCATCAAGAGATTGCACACCTACTACCACATGCCTCGTCATCATTCTGTCCATCTCCAACACCCAGAATTTCATCGTGGGTGGAAATCCTTTATGTTACTCCCGAGAGAGAGGACAGTGACAGTTTGCAACACCTGCTACAGGAGATGGTGCAGGCCAAAGCAGGCCATGCTGTATATCATATCACCTTTTGGCCCTCCTGCATCACATGCTCAAGACGACAGCATCTGCTGGTGAGTACAGTACTGTACAGTATATAAATAAATGTTTTGTATACTGTACAGTAGTACATTTTATTTATTTACAATATATTGTACAGTACATATATGAGAACATTTTTCCTAGTACCCAGATATTTCTAAGCTGGAACTGCTCTGTACCCAATTATTACAGCTAAGGGGGAGATTACTGTAATAACATCTCATTATAGCATTTAATATTACAGTGAACCCTCACTTTACGCGGTCAATTGAACCCACGGCGGCCCGCGTAAAGCGAGAAACGCGTAAAGTGAACAACATAACATATGGGATTAATTGAAATAGAGACCGGGCCGACCCCCAAATTCCACTTTTTCCCGACACAATATGTGTTTTAGTAAAAATAACATCTTAACTTTATGTTGGTATGCACACACACATAATATAGAAGGGAACAATCAATAAGAGAATAATATACTGTAGGTTTGGTTAGAAAAAACAAGGTTAAGGTTAACACTTACGTTAGTAGAAGAGATGGGTCGGCGTACGGGAATGGAGGCTGGTTCCGAGGCAGAGGGCAGGCTACTGGCCCTCAGGTGATTCTTCATCACTGTCATCCACACTTATTAGTGCCTCCCTGACAAATCCCTCAAAGTCACCATCACTGTCTCTGTCACTACCACTGGCTTGGGCTGGCTGTGGTGGGTTGCGAGCAAAGAACTCGGTAATGCTTTGCTGACGGCTGGTGTTGATGTTGTCGTGATACACCTTGATGTAGGGCTCCATAGTCTACAACAGCTGGGTAGTGAAGACTTCATACCAGTTATCGTCAGGGTCGTCGGAAAGGAGGAGCTTGAGTTTCTCAACACACTCGATGGCACCCCTTACATTACTATGTGATAATTTGCGTTCTTCTTGGGATGATGCACCACCTGCCTCTTCACTGACGTCATCATCATCTAATATCTAGTCGGCAGTCACATCAGGATCCCTTATGACCTCCAGGATATCGTCGTTGGTGGTCTCGGAGAAGCCTTTAGCTGTAACACTCTGCGCAACTTCTCTGGCAAGGTCCACTGCTACTGCAACAGTCTGAACCTCACCAGTCACAGATTGACTCTCCCTCCCACCTGGAATACCTTGCAACACATGTCTCCATGCGTGACGAACCGTTGCTACAGACAGCTGATCCCATGCCTCCACCAAGAAGTCCACAGCTTTCTTGACGTTGAATTTTCTCCAAAAATGTTTCTCAAGTACTTCTTGCTCTGCCAACTGTTGTTCCTCGTCGTCTTCGCTCTTGCTATCGGTGTCACCCAGGTTATGCAACTCATCCTTGGTGTTGGTGTAGTCGTTCAGGAGCTTAAATTTCTTTGCAGAGAATGCAGCTTTCACATTACAGATCAATTCTTGGTCCATGGGCTGTATTAATGATGTAGTGTTGGGAGAAAGGAAGACCACTTTTACGTTGGGGTGATGATCTAACAGTAGGGGCGAGTGTCCTGGTGCATTGTCAAGCAGCAACAAAATCTTGAATGCAACATTCTAATGCTCACAGAATTTCTTCACGTCGGGAACGAAACAGTCATCAAACCAGGAGAGGGACAGAGTAGAGAACATCCACGCCTTACGTGCGGTCAGCCAGTAGACATTTAGCTTGGTCATGTCCATGCTCTTGTAGGCGTGCGGCTTGCGTGCTGTGTGGATCACCGATAACTTGAGCTTACAGGTACCGGAGGCATCGGTGGTAAACAGGACGGTGATGCGCTCCTTCTGCAACTTCCGGCCCCGACACTTGCTGGCATTCTTCACAACGAAGGTCTTGGAAGGTAGCTTTTTCCAAAAAAGACCAGATTCGTCCATGTTAAACACCTGGTCGTCGGTGTACTGTCCTTCCTCCATAATCTCACGTAAAAACGGAGGAAAATCCCTAGCCGCAAGATAGTCAGCACTAGCTTCTTCACCACCAATGTTAATGTTGGTGATCTTGTTCCTCTTCTTAAATCTCTGCAACCACCCACAGGAAGCATTGAAGGGTTTGGGCTCTGCAATTCCCATCTTACGTGACACTGCAGCATACAGTTCACGTGCGTACTCCTTAACTGAGCGCGTGTCCACCGCCATATTCCGTCGCGCCTGACGAATCAAGTAACTCACAAGTAATTTCTCCGTCTTGAGAAGCACCTGGTTGTGGCAATACTTGATCATAGAAGCACCTGTAGACTTTGTGATATTCATGTGCTCCTTTATCTTGGCTGCATCCTTCTTAATTGTCCGGATCGTAGATTCGTTAACATCATGCTGGCGCACGAGATCAACCTGTCTTGTTCCTTTCTCCAACTCTTGGATGATCTTATATTTAATTTTGTAGCTTAGGGAACGTCGTATCTTCTTTGGCTTAGGGCGGCTGGGTCCAGGTAATGCAAGGTTTCTTTGTGGTGGTGGTGGTGGTCCGGTGGAAGCCATTCTTATGGAACAATGGATACCGATATACATGGTGTAGCCGGGAGGGGTGTAACTGACGCGGGTAGGTCAAGGGGCTTGAACGCTCCCGCGGCGGGGCAATTCATAGTACATTAAACCAATCACAGCTAGCAGGGGAGGGAGGTAAGGATGCTTGGCCCAATCACAGTCCGATACATCATATGACGTCACCGATAACGCAACGAAGACATACACTGTGCAACCTACTCGCGTCGCTTACCCGACATGGCGGGAGGTTTGAATCCAAAAATGGCGCGGCGCGAGAGGACCGCCAGCCGCTCTCCGCGTAAAAGAGTACACGCACCGCGTAAAGTGAGCATTCCATGTTCAGCAGGGTACCGCGTAAACGTGGAAAAGCGTAAAAAAAAAAAAAAAACGCGTAAAGAAGGGTAATACTGTACTTTACTATTTTTATTCTTTCATTGTTACTTGGATCTTATCATTAAAAATTCTAAATAGGCAGACATGTTACAATGTTGGAGAGACAGTATGAAACTCTGTCTAACTCCCTGTCTAACCCTGACACTAGTTAATTATGTACTAACACTGCAGCTTCATATTGCCCTATCAAACTTTTCCATAATAAACAAAATAGGATTCATCTCTTTGTCAGTCTTAAGAAGTTCTTAAAAATTGAAGCTTCCATGTTGATATAAGAGGAAATATTAAAACTAAGAAGACAATAAATCTTGTTGCTGTACTTTTATTTGATACTCTGTCTCACAGGAAAATACAACAAGAAGGAAACCAGACAAAACATCAACTTTGGTTCTTGAGTGTGCATAGTTGTAAGACTGTGTCTCAGCTCTGGCCACTGATGTTTGGGTTTGCATTTTTTGGCAACACTGTAGACGTACACCATTCACATTTTGATGCAAATCCAAAGCTTATTTCTGATGTCTATTTGTACTCCACATAGTTAACAAAGCACCACAACCTATCTAAATAATAATATAAAAAAATGTTCTTCACGTAGATCAATTCTATTTGTTTTAATACTGCACTTGATCCTTTTTCAATGGGGTTGCCTTTTTGTGTGTGTAAATATGCAAAATGTTGCTTAATTTTACTTTTAATTATTATTACTTTTTTGCCAATAGATAGATATGATTAATGAAAATTACTGTTTACAATATAACTTGTTCAGAGGCCTTAGCTCAGACACAGTCTACACAAACCAACTTTCTGGTCACATTACATGTACAATTTCATTCTAGACAGGAACCATACAATGAAAAAGAAGTTGCACTGTGGTTAACTTCAGCCTGCCTTAATAAACAGCAACCTGAATTGGGGTTAGGCACAAGTACAATGCAAGAAAAATTTAATGGTAGGCACTGCACGGCCAGATATTTGAGGGCAAGCACCAGACCCCATATTTATTATACAAAATGATATTGTGCAACTCTTTGTGAAATATAGAAATTGAAGCATGGAATTAGATCACAATACTGTAGATTAAAAAGTTCCCAAAAATGCTGAAACTGCACATATCCCACAAAAACCCTTCTTTCCTGTTCCACCTCTACTTAAAAGTGAGAGGAGGAAGCATAAGTAGCAATGATGGTGGCGAGCGGTGGTCTTTCTAGCAATGTACCATAGCAAAAACTTGAAACATTACAGCTCGAGTGATGACGCTCTAAACTTCAAAGCAGCCTGTGCATGGGGGAGGATTATGGCAGTCCCCCAGACAACAATACCTGGCAAAAGTAGCAATAAATACAGACCTGACTTTGAGTACAGCACAGTCATCAAGCGTCATCAGATAACACAACAGTGGTAATCACAGAAAGACACTCAGACATTATGCAGCACACATGTGATGGCTTACCAAAATAGATATAAATTTTATGCCTGGTCATATGCCAGAATTATCAAATATGATTGTTTTCACAGACAAATTCACATTCAGGACACACAAGTGGTAATTGAGGATTGTATTTATAAAATGTGTTGCAAACTATACATGATGGAGTTTTCCTAGTTTAAATCCACTTGTATTTCTCCGGGAATTCAGACTATAAACTTTCTTTAACAATGAACAAGACATGCTGGTCATCTTTGCCTAGTTAAGTTATGGATACTTTTCTTAAAAACAGGAGTGAAATTTACATATAATTTAAAGTGGAACAATGCAAGAACCTTGCCTAAAAAAAGTAAAAAAAAAAAATATTATGCTTATACTACATCTTTATTGATCCACAGCTTGAAGATTCATGCAAAATGATCAGCAACTTGAGCCCAATGTCAAAGATTATCAGTATACTGTTTATGATTAAAAACTGACGTTATTATCACCTTGATAATATCCCCAAACAATGGCACAAAATTGGTGATCATGATATATTTTGTGCACATAATAATAAAGGATGTCTGAAACGTCTCCATATGAATCAAGGCAATTAACTGGAAAATCAGAGGTACCCATACTTTGTTAGCACTCGTAATAAAGGAAATAAACAGGGCACAGCAGAAGTGAGGCAGGTTAAACACTGTGGGTTTGAGGAAGATATCCATAGCCACATGATAATGAAGAAAAGTTGAACATTACTATAAAACCTCAACCTTCTTATAGTTCAGGGTCACCACAGTCTTCCACTACCCACAAGAGACAAGAAGGCAAAGTGCCCCACTGCTACCCCACAAGAGTGTCAGTGGAACTTGGGAGTTATATGTATATATATATACAGTATTGTATAGTAATATATATATATATATATATATATATATAGTAATATATATATATATATATATATATATATATATATATATATATATATATATATATATATATATATATATATATATATATATATATATATATATATATATATATATATATATATATAATAAAAAAAATCCTCATGACACTTTGGCACAAAGATGAAGAAGAACAGTTGTTGAATACACACTGATTGCAAAGGCAGGGAAAACTCGACCACATTCATATCAAGAAGCGTAGCTTTCTGGCAGCTCCCATAACCACATTACTACCGACTCATTAAAGCAAATACATGGGGTGTATTTGTAACCAGGTAAACGATTACAAATTCCTTTTTCAAAAGTCCAATTTCATGATAATTTGCCTGAATATAATACATTTCATGCCTTACCATTACCCACAAGGTCACAAGTACACTAAATAAAGGAGAAGGCAATTGTAAATTTTCAATGCCTTTACAGACAATTCTGAATTTCAAATGATGATGCTATTTCACTTGTCCAAACTCTGTACTCCAGAGACTTAAATTAAGCAAAAAATTTGTTTTTTCAATTCCATGAAAAATGACTTTCAGCATTTACCTTCTCCTTTATTTATACATTTACAATTTCACAAACTCATTACCAGCCCTTGGATAAGCTTATTTAATCTTAAAAATATAAAATTTTACCTTATTCATGACCAGTGATTTTCTTGTCAGGAGCAATTCATGGAATATGGGAAAATCAAACACCTGCCAGTATAAACATGCAATTGACAAAATGTAAATAAAAATAGAAATGGAATACATATAACTGGTATGTAGAATGACTCAGAACATCCGACAGAGTAAAGCCAACTCTCCGCTAGTTAAGTACAATTGGGATCGTTGAAAAATTACAAACCCTATGTGTTGCTACACCTTTGTTCTTGCTTATTCTGACTCCAACAGGTGAGCACCAGACAAGGAAATCTTTGTGCAGGTAACATGCAGTACATACAGGAGGGCTAGACAGGAGCAGACATCCTCCTGCTCAGTACAATTGTTCACTCCACACAACCCACAAACCCACATAGGCCCAGCTTCATTACAAAAGTTACATCCCTTAAAACATTCAGCCCCATATCTATCTAACACTAGAAAACAAGTATAGCCCTTCAGTTGCTATTTTTAGCAGGTTCATTGCCAATTGTAGCCTAACATGAACGTGATACAGGGCCAGAGGTCGGCATCTCAACACAGCGAGGCGACGGTGTGATTCACACCGTAAGCACCTAGTCCTTATAACCCTCCAGGGGCTAGTTAAGGATAAGGACAAGAAAAGGTGAGATAGGGACACTTCAAAGCTAAGTGAAGCTGGTAGTGTGGGAACAAAGAATTTGACCTATAAAACAGAGAATCTTGTGTGGGTTGGGATGGGGCTGAGGCAAATATGTTGAGAGAAGTAGGGAAAACAGCAGGAGAGCGGAATGCTTGGGAAGGTGAGAGGAACAAAGGGCTTCAGGGAGACTGTGGACAGTTTAAAGGAGAATATTAATACCAAGATTCTGTTTATAATCCTAAGGGATGTTAGAAACTGTGGGAATTTATTATGGCCAAGAGTAGTTATTACAAGGTTAAAGTTTTGTCAGATATTTAGGCAGGTTAATTGAGGTGAGGTTAGGTTGAGAGAGGTCACTGAGATGATTGAGGGTCACACTGCAGCAGGCGCACAATGGAGGGGTCACTCTTGGCCCCTTCGATGAACTCTTCAAGACTAAGTTTGCCATCCTTATTCTTATCCATTTGACGGAAGATTTTGTCTGTACGTTTTTCAGGAGTGCTCTCATCTTCTGGCATCTTCATCACGGAGCCAACCATCTTGTAAATTGCCTGAAATGTCCGAAGATATTCATTATGACTTCACTCTATCACCCATAAAATCTGATCAACAGAAATGCATATATTGTACTGTACTGTGCATTACTTATCAGAAAATAAAAAGGCCTAATTTAAATTTCAACTACCAGTATTCAAGTATTATCCTAATAACAGTGAATGCTTTTAATCAATTAAATTATTTTTACTTAGAAATAGAGTATGGTAAATCTTTTGATAAGTTTCTTTTCTTAGAAGGCTCAATTGACGTTATATTAGACTATTGGACTGAATCATGTCAGGACAAATGTCAACTTGTGCCAAGACCAACTCGGTCCCAACAAACTTCTTCATATTCCTGGCTAGTGGTAAAACACGTAAGCGGGCTGTTTGTTGTCAGTGTATGAAGCCCAGAGACCTATGTCAGGTGAAGGTAATTTATCTCTACATTAAGCTGCCAACCCAACTCTATTAAGTCTGTGTTAAGTTATCAACATTTCAAAGGAACCACCAAGTTGAGAGACAGTAACTGTATGGTGACAGGAGTCACATCTCACATGCCAAGGGTTACAGCCACTGACACCATATTATATGGTGTGGGGGGGGGGGGATTGGACATTCAGCAAAATTGTGGACAACTTTGCCATAAAACAAACCATATATATATGTTATTAAAGTTAACTTTAAAAACAAAGCATGGAGTTGATTTGAGGGTAGACTCGCACATTTTTTTATAATTTTTTTTGTCTTGTTTCTGATTATTTGTGAGAGGATTTTCCCATTGTTATTTATTTGTATGTGTTTTGTGTGTGGGTGTCTACACACACACATACAATACAGGTAGAATAAATTACTGTCTCTGGAACAAATGGCTTCCTGTCCTGGCCGCAAAAATGCTAGCAACTTTAAAACTACCCTTAGACATTATTGGGTACATCCAGGGTATCATCTGCGAATAATCGAGATCCGTGAATTGTCAGGGCATGCTCTCTATATATTTTACTGCATGCCCTTTTAAAATATCGCCCACTATTAAAAATTCCTTAAAAAAGTTTGTGTTCTTCTCTTCTTCACAATGCACATCTCTAAAAACACCGAGTTGGGGATTAAGTTGCTATTGTTCATAGTGTGGTAGTGAGGGAAGCACGACTGACAGATGGAGATTTATTCCTGACGTTTAGTCACTAGTCTAGTGATGAAACGTCAGGAATAAAGCACCATCTCTTAGTCGTGTTTCCTCACTACCACACTATGTACCCTTAAGTTACTTCTATTCAAAACCCATTTCTACATCTTTATACTTATCATAAATCTCTTTTTGCAAATGTGACATCTTGACCACAAATCTCAATCTCTACATTATAAAGCTCTAAAGACTCCAAAATACTTTAAATATTTGTTGGAGAATTTTATCCACTGGTTGTGATTAATGAAAATGTTAAAGTTTATTTGGTACTGTGACTGTGTAGATAGGATGAGAATAATATTAAACACCAATAATGTATAGACAGAAAACAAGTGGGGAGAGTAATAGAGAGATAGAAGGTTTAAGATTAATTAAAGGGGATAATAGCAGTTTTGAAATTGATACAAGAGTATAAAAATAAGTAGCAGATCAAGTAGTACTTCTGGACACACAACACCACCACAAATAATATACTTATGTACAGTACTTGTACAAGTGCTGTACTGTATTGAAATTTCTCCATTCAAACTATGTAATGTAGTGCATATTTTCAAAAGGAAATACAGGTGCTCCTCTACTTAAGAATGTTCAACTTACAAACTTTCAGAGATACAAACATCATCACTGGGGGGGGGGGGGGTTACCTGCCAGAACTGGTGTTTAATGTCGATGAGACTGAATTATTTTGAAGAAAATTCCAGATAGAACAAACATTACCTAAGAGGAAAAGAGTGAGCCAGGTTTTAAGGCTGTATTAAAGGGCATAGCTGTACTAAATATACCTAATCTTTTAATTTTTTACAATATGTTTCGTATCTACAAGAGTAAAGTTGGACTTACAAACAAGCCTCAGGAACATAACTCATTCGTAAGTAGAGGAGCACCTGTACAGTAAATAACATCTGGAAAACTGTGATAAAGAAAATGGATACTTCTTACCGTGACAATCTCCAACATCTCCTGTCGACTGATGTAGCCGTTGCCATCTAGGTCATACATGGAGAAGGCCCACCTCAGCTTCTGTTCAAGCTTGCCTCTTGATGTGACAGAGAGTGCACACAGGAACTCTCGGAAGTCTATGGTCCCATCTCCATTAGCATCGAAGGTCCGGAACACATGCTCCGCAAACTGCTTGGGAGGGTAAGTGATGACGAGTTGCACATAAAACTGTCAAACCTCGTTGGGATGGCCACCTTTAGTCTCGTATTAATCTGAGTTTAGATCTCACGAGAGGCAATTTTAACTCTGGATAGAACTTGTATAAAATTACCATTTTCACTAAATAAGGAAAATGAAATTTATCCACGCACTATCCACAGCAAAATTCCTCCATCAGGTTATAATGTAAGAGTCATCTTGAATTAATCTCACATTACTGCAGCTTAGTAATTGGTTTCATGCTAGTCACTCTCTGCAAGTTAATTATCCAGAACATTAAGGGGTTAAGGGAACGAGGTTTGACTTTTGAGTAAATGGCGTCACATAGCCGGGATATAAGGGCAAGGGTTAAAGACACAACAACATGATAAAACCACCATTACAGCAGTAGAATCATGACACTTGACTAATTAACACTAGCCCTTAAACAATCTTGCTTTGCTACTACTGTATTACAAAGAATCACATTTAGACAATAATGTACTATAATTACATCATAATTTCATTTCAAAAAATCAATATCATTGTTCTATTTAAAGTGAAATAACTTTTCTGAAATTATAGAAATCGCTCAGTTGAAGTCTCAGTCCAGAACAAGTTTAAAAAAAATAACAGTGAAATTACACAAAGCAAAGCAAGAAACTTATTATAATTTAAAAGGCAACACACCTAAATATTATCTGTACTTAAATACAAACCAAACACCATGACACATGTACCCTGATTATCCATAATAATTATTCCTGTACAAGTATTCAGGAAAGCATTTATCAAACAATTCAATTTACAGTAGGTTTTTTTGTTGCTTTGGATACCAGTTTGTATGCCATTTTTTTGTGTTTTCACTTCAAATTTTTTACTATCGCAGTACGGGTATGTACTTTTTTTTTCACTCTCACTACCACAATCACTGCCACTAATTTTCCTTTTAGGGGCCATGATTGTGGTAAAGTTCACTAGAGAATAATTTCACCAATGGGAATACCTGTACCTGGGAGATGAGCGCAGAATCAGAGTGAGGCCGTCAGAGTTATGTTATGGTTATTTTTCAACTCATAATTTCGGGTAGATATATAAAATTTTCTTTTCTTTTCCCCTCTGTTAAAATTGTTACATGCACAAAGTAAAAAACATAAGGGAATAAACATTTCTTTGTGCACTGAAGTTAGCACATAGAGCAGGAGGGGGGGAGTAGCATGAGGTATCTCAGCTGATGGCTGTCTCCTGTGTCCAGTGTGTAGTGAAATGATTACCAAATGGCAATGAAGTATTTTTTCTTCTGTAATATCTCCGTTAGCCAAAATACCTCAAAACTGAAACTCTCGATAGCTGGAATTGAAATTTTTTGGAAAATCATTCCCAAAGCAGTAACTTTTTGGAAAATTCCAGCTTTGGAAAAGATTTTCAGAAGGGCACATTTTCTGGAAAATTCTGAGAACATTTTCCTAGTACCCGGAAAATTCCAGGGATGGGGGATTTTTATTCTGGGTTTGCAAGATGAAAATTGGGCATTTTCTGGAAATTCCAAGATAAATTTTCTGGGACGGGGGATATTTTTCCGGGTTCAGGAGATAATGTAATGCACAATTTCTGGAACTTTCGAGAAAATTTTTCCGTTAACTGGAAAATTCCAGGGGTGAAGGATTTTTTCCATCTACAAGAGATGAAATAATGTATCATTTTGGAACCTTCGAGAACATTATTCCATTACCCAGAAAATTCCTGATATGAGGAATTTTTTCAGGCTTTGAGAGAGTCGTCTCGTTACCCGGAAATCTCTCATTCCCGGAAGTGCTCTGCACCAATTGTTCTGGCTAACGGAGATATCACACATTATGAATCTATTGAGTTCAGGAAAGTGCTTCCAACTTTCAGTGGAATGGGACAACAAATTATGCATCTTCACTTTATCTAATCGTATGTACAGTTGCCCACAGGAATAGTGTTCCACCCCTCGGTGGCCTTTCCGAACATGTGACAATGTTGGAATCAATTTATAAGTGAAACGGTAACAGGAGGAAAGCAGTGGTTGGCAAGTGCTCTCCTCACATAACCGATTCATTCATTAAGTGATTTTGACGTTGATACATGTTCGGAAAGGCCACCGAGGGGTGGAATACTATACCTGTGGGCAACTGTATCCCTAAAGATGACCAACAACAAAAAATGCATATACAGTAGTAAAAGACATTAAATGATTAGATATTTACCATGTTTTAAAGTAGTCATTACTATTTTCCATCAATCTTCCACACATCCATGGGATACCCATAATCACCTAATGGAAGTTCAATACAGCCTCTTTCATCACATCCTTACCTCTCAAGTAATTTTTTACAAAAACACCCCATGTCATTCTCGGCCTACCCCTAGTTCTCCTCCACTCTCTTCAAATGACTGAACAATCTCTGCATATCTCTACATAAAACTTTGCTGATACTCTCAATACCCAGCAGCTCTCTTACCTCAGAAGAAGGTTTCCTATCTTTCAGTGTCACATTACACATCCACCTCAACATTCTCATTTCAGTTCACTCAAAGTCTTTTATGTCATCCTCATTAGCTGCCCAAGCTTCACTGCCTTACATCATCACATTTCTCATGCTGATTGCATTTATCTTTTCTTTCACACAAAGAGACTGTCCTCTTGCCATCAATATGGGCAACAGCTCCATAAACTTCTTCCAGCTGTTTCTGACTCTTGCAAACACCTCCACCACTGATCATGTCATCCATGTAGCAGAACTTATCAACACAGTCCAGGGATATATCACCAGTGTTGAGTTTCTCCGCCTAGCTAAGGCCACATGATTAGCTACACATACTGTATAGTACACTTAATGTCAGCAACATCCTGCAGTCTGCCATATACACTAAGTCGGCGCTTAACGTCATCCCGCTTAACGTTGTTTTGGTACTACGTCGCTAAACTTTAGAGACCAAAAATTCGTTTAACGTCCCGGTGATCTGATACTACGTCGCTTTGCGTCGTCACAGACTACATTTTATGGTGCATCACCCTCTCTTGTCTGGCCGCGCTTTGCTCACTCGGCTTGGCGCAGAGTCTCAGCAACTCACCAGCTCCCTCCTCTCCCACCCTCCACCTCCGCTCTTGCCATACTCCTCCCCTCCCGCCTCCTCTGCTTCACTACCCACCACACACTCGCTCTACCACCACCGCCCATCGTTGAGTACCAATACAAACTTTGTAGTTGTATATGTATGCATTATCTTCTATAGAAATGGCAATGATTTTCTGTATATGTAATGTATTTCATGGGGCAGAGGGAGGCTCAGGAACACAACTTTCGTATTTTATCTATTTCTTATGGGGAAAATTGATCCTCTTAACGTCGTGTTTTTAGAACTGAACCCCGACGTTAAGCGAGGACTTACTGTACACCATTGCACTTCCACACACATTGTACATTACTGAGTTGCTCTTAGCACCTTTCTTACAGACAACACATGACCACTTTCCAACATAAGTTCTTTATCCATTTGACTAATTATTACTTTTGTTTTCATCACATTTACTCTCACATCATTTGATTTCATTCCAATACTTTTGTTTCTGAAATTTCTCCAATACAGCATGGCCCTTAAAATTCGTGGTTAGGTTCTCAAATGACCGCAAAATGCCAAATCCATGAATAACATTTGCTGACCAGGATGGGGGGGGGTTCCTTTTTACTCGTGTTTTGAGGGTAGACTCACAAAGTTTTTCAAAATTTTGTTGTCTTGTTTCTGATTATTTGTGAGAGGATTTTCCTATTATTATTTATTTGTATGTGTTTTGTGTGTCAACACACACACACACACACATATATACAATACATGTAAAAGAAATAACTGTCTCTAGAACGAATGGCTCCCTGTCCCAGCTGCAAAAATGCCAGCAACTTTAAAACTTCCCTTAGACATCCTTGGGTATATCGATGGTGTCATCTGCGAATAATCGAAGTCCGCGAATTGTCAGGGCATGCTTAAAATTATATAATTTATATGAATTAAGAGTTCAAATATATTTTGTTTACATGAGTCATTTTAATATATGAAATGCTAACTAACCATAAAAATAGTCACAGCGGCCGATTTCCAAAGTTCCCCAACTCCTCCCAGGGGGTTAACCAGCGACTCAAAGTGACCGCATCCTCCCTTGCAACTTCTAACACATTGTAGCAAGCTGAGCGCAAACCGATAATTTGCCTGTGACTTGCCAATTCACGTTTTTTAGTGTCCATCCTGGGCTGGGTGTGGAGCAGCGACCAAAAGCCATTGCCACTACCACCTCATCACCTCGCATTGATTTTTCACAACTCTAATAAACATATTACAGGATGGCCAGGTCACATTTTATCCAACAATTCATTCTAATTTTTTTTTTATCAATTAATAGTGATTTTTTTCTTCAAGAACGGGAGTGATGAGAGGTGGAAGTGATCAAGTAAGAGCCTCGGTTAGTGTTACTGCTGGTGAACAATCCACGCCCCCTCTTGTCTTATGTTGTCATATCCCGGGCTTTCCCTCACAGAAGCCGGACGGACACCTTATCACATTACCTGCCAAAAGCTCACTCTCGTTTATCCCCAGAATCTCAAGTAAAGGCATAGATAGCTAAGGGAAAGTTCAGTCCATATGACACCTGTCCTTCCTGGTTGGTTGCTTGGGCTTTAGGCCTATCCACTACCAGAGTCATTAATGCCATCAACGTCAAGCTGTACCGACCAACCTTAACACCTTCTTCAGGTGTTAAGGATAATAATCAGACCACATACACCCTTGCTACATATGTGGCCCTGAGTTGCGCCCTCCTACCTTAACCGGGTTTGCCACTCCAAGCTTAAGTCCCTTCAATACTTCCCCCACCCTCTTGTCTCCTGTTGTGTAGAAAGGCAGGTAAGGTAGTAGAAGGGGTGGATAATTACTTTTGACTGAGACTACCATGAGGATGAAGTGTACATTGCATATAT